GTGTGTGTCCACAAAGATGTGCATGGCCCACTAAGCACAGGTCAGAGGTCAGCTGTGTGGAGCTGGTTCTTTGATCTGTGGGTGGCCTGTTGGGCTTACACATCTTTATCTACTGAGCCATTTGTGGATTCCAAACGTTCAGACATTCAGCTTTGTCTTTGTATGATGGGAATGATAATAACACCTCTGTTGCATGTGTCCCCAGCACTGCAGAAGTCAAGTCCAAATCCCAAGTAACTCATCAGATAAGAGCTGGGGGAGGGGAGCTCAAGATAGAACATTGCTTAACATATGCCAGACCGTGTTCATATCGGCAGTTAACATTCCTGCAGAGACAGGAAGGCTGCTGCAGCAGATGAGGTGATGTCAGAGTCTGTAGTTTGACATCCATCTTGAATCCTCTTAAGCCCAGAGTTTATTATTTTTTTATTTTATGTTTTTATCATTTTGAGGGGAAGAGGTTTCTCTATGTAGCCTTGTCTGTCTTGGAACTCATTCTGTAGACCAGGCTGTCCTCAAACTCTGCCTCCTGAGTGCTGGGATTAAAGATAGTATGTTCCCACAGCCTGGCTAGCCCAGATTTTTTTTTTTTTTTTTTTTATGGTGAAAAAAAAAGTGTATATTTAGAATTAGTCATCTGGACTCAGTTTAGATGATCCCAATCTTGTTGGCAACATCCAGAGCATCATAATCAGGAGCCAAGCGGACATATGCCTTCTTCTCTCCATCAGGCCTTATCAAGGTATTGACTTTGGCCACATCAATGTCATAGAGTTTCTTCACGGCCTGTTTGATCTGGTGCTTGTTGGCCTTGACATCCACAATGAACACAAGTGTGTTGTTGTCCTCTATTTTCTTCATGGCTGACTCAGTGGTCAGTGGGAATTTGATGATAGCATAGTGGTCAAGCTTGTTTCTCCTTGGTGCACTTTTCCGAGGATATTTTGGCTGCCTCCGGAGCCGCAGTGTCTTGGGCCGCCGGAAGGTGGGTGACGTTCGGATCTTCTTCTTTTTGTTAGCCCAGATTTTTTTATGCTGTGTTTTCCTGAGTTTTTGCAACTGTCAATGAAAAGAGTCTCCCAAGATCTTGAGAAAGGGGCTGGAGAGATATAGATGGCTCAGTGGTTAAGAGCACTGACTGCTCTTCCAGAGGTCCTGAGTTCAGTTCTGAGCACCTGCATGGCAGTTTACAGCTCTCAATACTGAGATCCAATGCAGAACATCCCTATACGTAAATTACATAAACCTTTTTTTTTTTTTTTTGGATTTGTTTTTTAGAAAAGAAGCCTGACAAGGCAGACAACTGAGCTAGGAAAGGCCTTTATCCTAAGGGCCTGGGCCCTGCAGGCAGACTGCCTAGGTTTCTGTTTGTCCATTAGTCATGTAGCCCTGGACCAATCACTTAAAACACTCTGTTCTGTGTCCCCATCTGTATGGCAGGGACTGCACAGGGAGTGCCCAGGACAATAGGCGTGGACCCTCCCAGAGCACCCGCACAGTCCTTGGTCAAGGGAAATGTCCTCTTACTTTTGGTTTTCTTTCATGTAAGGAGCCGTGTAAAGCCAGTTGAGTACAGCCAGATGTACAGTTACAGCTACAACCAGTATTACCAGCAGTACCAGAACTACTATGCCCAGTGGGGCTATGACCAGAACACAGGTAGCTACAGCTACAGCTACCCTCAGTATGGCTACACCCAGAGCACCATGCAGGTAACCGTGTCTGCAACCCTTGGGTCTCATCCCATCTCTAGGGACCATCATTCCACACAGAAAACTGTTTATGGGCTTTGAAAAGTGGGAAGGGCTGGAGAGACCCACCAGGATCTTCTCAGGTTCCTCACTGTCCTGTCCTCTCTTAACAGACATATGAAGAGGTTGGAGATGATGCTCTGGAAGGTAAGAACCCCTGCGTGCCACCCATGGCCCTCAGCTGGGTGCTGAGGGACACCAAGGATGTGTGGGCTAGCTTTGTGTTGTTGTTTTTCAAGACAGAGATTCTCCATGTGGCCCTGGTTGTTCTGGAACTTGCTCTGTAGACCAGGCTGGCCTGGAACTCAGAGATCTGCCTGCCTCTGCTTCCAGAGTGTGCTTCTAATGGGAGTAGATTGCACCCAAACAGTGTTATAAGAAATGAAGGCCACTCCCAGGAGCCCATTGTTTCCAAGCTGCTGCACTCAACCCACCCAGTATCTCTCGAACAGTAACACCCTTACTTTGTATTTGTTGTTTTTTTATTTGTCTGGTTTTTATATTTTATGTGCTTTGGTGTTTCGCCTGCAATGAATGTCTGTATGAGGGTCAGGGATTTTCTGGAACTGGAGTTTCTTACAGACAGTTGTGAGCCATTGGGTGGGTACTAGGAATTGAACTCAGGACCTCTGGAAGAGCAGCAGTGCTCTTAACCACTGAGCCATCTCTCCAGCTCCTACTGTTTACTAGTTTGTAAGGTTAATTTTGTCTTTATATTCTGTTTTCCAGTTTGCTTTTTCTTTAGTACTGGGTGTAGAACGTAAGGCCCTGTTATGCTAGTGATGCTCTTGCCACTGAGCTATATCCCTCCAGTGTATACACTTTTGAAATGACATCTTTTTTGATTAGCATTCTAAGATCCTAGCATTTGGGAGGCTGGCATAGGAGTCCAGGCCAGCCTGGGCCATGAGTTCCAGGGGAAAATACAGAAAATTTGATGGGTTTCAAAATCTAGGGAAAAAGCAACTACTGAACTACAGTAGAAATCACCCAAACCCACAGCCTCTGTTTTGGTTTGAATATCGGGCTGGCTCCCACGGTAGGTCTAGATGACCTTCAACTCCTGCTTCTGCCTCCTAGCACTGGGATTACAGGTCTGGGCCAGCACACCGGCACAACAGTTTCCTTAAAGCCTAGCCAAGCTTTAAAATGCCAGAAGGTTGAGATAGAATGATTGCTTTGAGTTCAAGTTGGATTACATACTGAGACTTTGTATCAAAAGAGAAAAAGATCAGGTGTAGTGGGCAGTAGTACAAGCCTTTAAACAGGGGTGGAAGGCAACTCGGCTTGGTGTGGTGCGAGCGTGGCTTCAGAGCTAGCCTTGGTTATAGAGCAGACAGAGCCACACACTTAGAATCCTTAGAGAGACTACACTAAGGATTTCTCTTTGTAAACGCCTTTCATGCTCAGCTCAACATGGTAGAGCACCTCAGTAATCTCCAGGCTACAGACCCGGTCTCAAAACCCAAAGGTCTAGTATTGGCTTTATTTTTTTGCAGACATTCTCAATATATCAAGCTAAATTAAAACCCATCGTTCATTTGCCTCCACCTCCCATGGAATGAAGTTATAGGGGTGCCACCATACCTTGAAAATGTGGGATGTCTGAGACAGGACTAGGCTCCCAGTAATTAAGGTGGCACTTTGGATTCATTAACTTAATGTCTTCCAAGCCCAAATTTCATCTCTTAGGTTTTTATGTAGCTCTCTTCAGACATACCTGAACCCTCAAACCCTCCTTGCAGCTGGTCTCAGCCTGCCTAACCTTTGCCTTTTTCTTGTAGACCCAGCTCCACAGCTGGATGTGACTGAGGCCAACAAGGAGTTCATGGAACAGAGTGAGGAACTGTATGATGCACTGATGGACTGTCACTGGCAGCCCCTGGACACTGTGTCGTCAGAGATCCCTGCCATGATGTAGCCAGGACATGACACAGAGCAATGATCTTTTTTTATTGTGAAGCTTTTATCTTTTTGAAACTGATTCATAATGTTTTAATAAATTACTTTTCCTGAAATTATGGGCCACTTCAACTGTATGTAAAGCCATGCAACCAGTTGTCTTGGTAGATCACATGACATTTGAAAATACCCTAGCAGTTAACCAAGTCTGTCAATGTTAAGCAACTAGTGGTTTTAACTAGGAATGACCACTGTTAACAGGCCTTGAAAGGGAATTGAACGACCCCTCCAGGGGGTGACCCAGAAAGTGACCCCTAAAGACACTCTAGAGATCTCTTGTAATGAGTCAGGTCTTTATCATTTCAGGTCCATGTGCCTCATGCAGGAGGCAAGGGTCATCTACCCTGAGATCTAACTAAAAGGATTCACGTGCAGCTTGGATGGATCACAACAGGCCAAGATGGTTCCACAAGGGGAGGTTTATTAAGAGTGGGAGAGCGGGAGGAGAGAACAGAGAAGTGGAGGATAGAGGCTGGCCATGACCACGTGGAGAGAGGGGGAAGAGAAGGGGGGAGGGGAGACAACCTGCAGGTGCGCTGGGTTGAAGAGCAAGAGAGAGGAGGGGGCAAGCAGCCCCTTCTATAGTGGGCAGGGCTACCTGCCTGTTGCCAGGTAACTCTGGTGCGGAGCATACCTGGCTATTTCCAGGTGACTGTGGAGGTGGAGTTTAACAGATTGCTAACACTAACAGCTTAGGATTTTTATAGACAAAGGCTGGGGGGAGGGAGAGGGTTGTGGATAATCATACACAATTGGTGGTTATGTCTGTAATATGTGTAAGTAGACTTCAGGCAGAGGTTTGACAAATCTTGAGAATAGTCTCTGTGGCCTCAGGACCCAGTGTGAGTGTTTATGTTAGTCAACAGACCATCTGGCTGAGTCTAATTTACAAATCTTTGGGACCTCTGGTGGGAGTTTTCTCAGAAGAGGTGAAGTCAGACACCATGGGACCAGATTTTCCGGAACCCTCAATTGACTTTTGTTCTGCCATCTCTTGTGATGGCCTTGGGTTAGCAAGTTAGCTGACCTGTAATTTTTAACTATTTGTATTTCTATTTATTTAACTTAAAATTTCTTTCAGTATCACTAGGGCTGATTTCAAAATGGCAGTCTCCATGCCCACCTGCCACCATGCTCAGTCCTGATCCTGATGTGCTGATCAGCAGAAAAACCCCAGCCCCCATAGAATCTAAGGATCTACTGTTGGCTGAACAATGGTAGGACATGGCTGTCCTGGAACTTACAGCAGACCAAGCTGCCTAGAGAAAGCTGGCCAGTTACAGAGAAGACAAGTTCCAAAAGTCTTTATTAAATCAACTGCATGTTACGTGACAAAGTATTTCACTTTTTCAGAATGAGGTTTCTTGATGTAGACCAGGCTGGCCTTGAACTCAAAGATCTGACTGCCCCTCTGATTCCAAAGGCTGCAAAACCTTCTGCTTTCAGGGCAATCCTCTTGTGACTTTTCTGAAAAGGAAGAAGTACAAACCTGTGTTAGTTAGTTCCACCCTGACTCAATCCCCACCTCAGGTCATTCCTAAGAACTGGTCTCAGTCCCATATCCGCATTTCTCATCCATAGATGTCCACTGATAATGGGTTTCATCATGGACCAGTGTCAGAGCTTCCTCACTCCTTACAATCTCCCTGTTGGATTATCAGATGGTGCTACTGTACTCATGTAATGGTCTTCAATGGGCAAATACTAGCCAAACCACATAGTCCCAGATGTTAACAGCTAACTAATCCAGCATACAGGCCACATATGAATCAAGTATTCGCTAGCCTCTATAGAAACCTGAAATTTTGCTATACTACTTAGGAACAGTCAGTCCTTAAGCTTACCCAACAACTGTAGACCAATCATATAATGGCTGCTTCACTGGTTACATGGCCCTTTAACAAGAAAAGAAAAAAAAGCATGAAAGCCAGTTTTTAGCAATCCTACTGCCTAAGGGCATTTTTAATTCTCAAGATACCCCCCGCCCCGCCTTTTTGTGGTTTTGAGACAGGATTTCTCTGTATAGCCCAGACTGTCCTGGAACTCACTCTGTAGACCAGGCTGGCCTCGAACTCAGAAATCCGCCTGCCTCTCTGCCTCCCAAGTGCTGGGATTAAAGGTGTGCGCCACCACCGCCTGGCAAGTTATCCCATTTTACAAAGCCCAGGTATGTCTGAATCTGGCCTGCTGCTCTACACCAGACTGCATCGCTGAGGCCAGCTTCAGGGTACTCTTCCTCCTTTACGACCACCAAGACCAGCATGGAGATCCGATGGGAAAGGGAAACCGGAGGGTTAGGCTGCCCCAGACAGAACCTTACCACAGTTTAATAAGCAGAGCCTGACAGGCTGTCTTCTCAGATTCTTCCCAAGAACCTCAAGTGTAACCTTCAGAAGGAAAGTTCATTGTGAAGACCACAGGACAGTGGAGTATCCCAGAGAGACAGCTCTTAGCTCCAATCCCAAAATCTATAGGAAAGCTGAGTGGCAGCTGCAGGCACTGTGATGGCCTGGGCTGTCAAAGTCTCTCCATTACTCTGGCATGCAGTTGGAGATCCCATGGCTACAGCAGCCACAGCCCTTGGAAACATGCTTCATTTCTTCCCATGTAACCCAACCAAACCACCGAGCTTACCTGGCCCTTCTCAGGGTAGTCGTAACTTCCGGTCTCCTTCCTTACCACAGTCTTCATCTAAAACAGCTAAAATGAACGGCAACAGAATTATCCACAGTAATCTTGTTCCATATTCCCAGTCATTACCTTACAGGGAACTTGACAGTGACCAAGGCATTGCTATATATCAATAGATGTTTGAAGGCTCAGCAAACTTTCAAAACGTTTTTGTTGGCACATTACACATGTGCTAATACCTCCCCTCTACCCACAGAGTAGTGGGAATAAAAGCCTTTGGGATGTCAGAACAGTTCATTTTGAATAATAAAGATCCCTACATTCTCTGGAGAAACCTTAAGGTGGAATGTCTTTTCCCAAAATGTTGCAGATCAGTTACAGGAAACAGAACCGCGACCGTCAAGGAAAATGTTTTTCTGGGCCACCTTTTTGACCACAGCAGCTATGTAGAAGCAGCTGCAGCTTCGATAAGGGCCAGACACAGTAACAGTGGTTACTAGACCACAAACCCACAAGCCACCTGCCTCACCACCGTCTACTAGAGACACCAGAAAACGGCAATCCTATAAGCTCTGAAGGCTCATAGTTTAATACGTGAAGCTTTAGACACTCGGAGAGGTTTCTACTACGACTCAAAGCGGTTTCAAAATAATGACCGTACTGCTTCCAAACACAAAGTTTTTAACATGCTGTAGATATCAGGGTAAGCTGAATAAAACGGCGGCTTTCTGCAGTCACAAAGCGAGAAAGCAGAGGTTATACAGAAGCCTCTTACCCAACTCTGTAGGGCTAAGGCCAGGACAAACTCCTGACTTTTCTTAAAGGCTTTAATACTATGATTGACATAGGGATCGCCTAGCACGTGGCAGGATCCAAATTCCACCCAACATAGGAGCGAGGTTGGTCGACAAAGGTCACTCACAGGCAATGGTCACGGGCCTTTCCAGTTGGCGTCATTTTAATAAGGTTACTGCACCCAAGCAGGTAATACCTTCAAGGTACAAATGCTATTACTAGATCCCATCATCCCCAAGCCGATAATCTGCAGCACTCACCGGTTAAAAGGCGCGGTCCGTAGGCCGCTAAAGTATCACTGCGCATGCGGCCATTATGAACCATGCTTCCACTGCAGAGATGAAGAAACCGGGTTCCTTCGCTGCGGGCTTCGGATCACGCAGCCTCGGAGGCAGCATCTGGAGATGCAGGACGAGGGTGGTGTGCTGGGGGGGCTGGGAAGATGGGGGGCAAAATTTGGTAGAAGTACAAGCTGCCATTACAAGAACAGAAACGAAGAGCGGACGAAGTGAGAAAGGACTGAACACGGCCTGCAGCTGGCTTATATACGCTCGCGCCTCCAACAGCGTCTGCGTCATCCAACTGCCGCTCGGAGCCTCTGGGAAATGTAGTTCATAGGACCGCCTGGTTCCTGCTCCTGATCTGGCTCTGATCATACTGGCTTCCACCTGAACCAGAGAGCTCAACTCATCTCTCAGACCAGCTGCCATCCCTGCGGGTTACGTCTCCGGGAGACTTTGAATTAACACCGACCTTAGAGTTTTCCGCCCGGAGCGTCCCGGGATGCCTGAGAGGGTAGTGGGATACTACCAGGTCTTCTTAAAGGAGGACCCAGATGGATGCATTATTTGTTCAAAGCTTATTTCCTCTGCCACTATGTATTTTCTAAGCACCCGCTGTTTATACTGGGCCCTATTATTCCATCTTATGTTCATACACACCTGTGTACAGGCTTCATGGTTATCCCCTTTTCATAGGGATTGAAGAATGGATCATAGCTAGCAAGCAAGGTTAACTAGACTCAGCACAGCTCGGACACTCAAAGTAACAACCGTGTGCTATCCTTTGCTCATGGGATGAATGAATGAGTATCAACTTAAAATCATACATGGAGCCGGGCAGTGATGGCACACACCTTTAATCCCAGCACTTAGGAGGCAGAGGCAGGCGGATTTCTGAGTTCGAGACCAGCCTGGTCTACAGAGTGAGTTCCAGGACAGCCAGGACTACACAGAGAAACCCTGTCTCGAAAAACCAAAAAAAAAAAAAAAAATTTCCCAGCACTTGGGAGGCAGGCAGATTTCTGAGTTCGAGGCCAGCCTGTCTACAGAGTGAGTTCTAGGACAGCAAGGGCTACACAGAGAAACCCTGTCTCAAAAAACAAACAAACAAAACCATACTTGGTAAATGGACTGGAGAGATAGCTCAGTGGGTGGACGCATGAAACCCAGAGTCAATCTCCCAACTCCAAAGTCTGCACCTCTAATGATGATCCAGGTCTGTTAGCCCAGCATGGCCTGTGGGAGGAGGATTAAAAGGTTAAGGGAAGGGGTTGGTTTGTTTATTTGCTTTGGTTTTGGGATAGGAGCTTTCTATTTATGTTGCTCTGCTTGTCCTGGAATTTACTATGTAGACCAGGCTGGCCTTGAGCTCACAAAGATCCACCTGTCTCTGCCTCAGTGCTGGAATTGATTAAGGTAAATTCTGAGGCCAGCCAGGGCTACTTGAGGACCTGTCTAAAAAAAAAAAAAAAAAAAGAAAGAAAAAAGAAAAGAAAAAGAAAGGAAAAGGAGGGCTAGAAAGATCTCTCAGTGGTTAAAAGCACTGGCTGCTCTTGCAGAGGTCCTAAGTTCAATTCCCAGCAAGCACATGGTGGCTCACAACCATATGTAATGGGATCTGATGCCCTCTTCTGGTGTGTCTGAAGACAGTGTACTCCTATACATTAAATAAATAATATTGCCAGGCAGTGGTGGAGCATGCCTTTAATCCCAGCACTTGGGAGGCAGAGGCAAGCAGATTTCTGAGTTCGAGGCCAGCCTGGTCTACAGAGTGAGTTCCAGGACAGCCATGGCTACACAGAGAAACCCACAGTTGTCCGATGGTCTCCACGTGATGACTGGGATGGGGGTGGAGAGATGAATGAAACTTGGCTGCAATTGCATAACCAGTAAGTGGCCCTTGAACCGCAACTCAAAATCTCCCCAGTGGAAATGTGCAGACCTTTGTTGCTGAGGTTTACAGTTCTGACTGAGCCACCCCATGAGGATTGGCCTTAGCAGATGAAGAAGCAGGGCATAGGGAAGGGAAACGGCTAGCCCGTTGGGTTACACACTCCTTATCTATGGCATGGGTCAGCTGAACTGTAGATTCTGGTGTCAGGTGCAGTCAGAAGCAGCCACATGACCCCAGCCCCAGTGGGAGCCTCTGAAACAGAAAATGCAAAGTTCAAAGAATCTGATGCTGACACCCACCGCACAGCCCATGAGGGCTGGCCGGAGCGCTGTGCAGCCCATCTTTGGGGAGGGCTCAGTTCCAGCTGTTTCATGCTTCTCCACATTTGCCCATCTGCTCTGGATATGATTATTTACAGATAGTACATAAACTGCTTTTGTTTCTTTGTTTAGAATCAGTGAGAAGAGAGCAGGCCATTGAGCTACTTCTTGGGTAAAGATACTTGGTGCAAGCTTGAAGATCTGAGTTTAGGTCCCTGGGACCTACAGGGTAGAAGAAGAGGACCTACTTTTTCAAGTTGTCCTCTGGCCTCCATACACACATGCACATAAGTAAATGCAAAAAAAAAAAAAAAAAGAAAAGAAAGAAAGAAGGAAAAGAAAGAAGAGGAAGAAAAAGGGCTGGAGAGATGGCTCAACGGTTAAGAGCACTGACTGTTCTTCCAGAGGTCCTGAGTTCAATCCCCAGCAACCACATGGTAGCTCACAGCCATCTGCAATGGGATCTGATGCCCTCTTCTGCTGTGTCTGAAGAGAGCAACAATGGTCTCATAAACACAAAATTAATAAATAATTCTAGAAGAAGAACAACAACATCATTCCTGGGCTGTTCCAGATCCCAGACTGGTCCTGTGAGAAAATTAAATAATAAACAAAATCTTGTCTAGAAGTGAGTTCCAGGATAGCCAATGTTGTTGTTACACAGAGAAACTCTGCCTCAGATAAATAAATAAATAAATAAATAAATAAATAAATAAATAAATAAAATAAACTCTGGGTTTGTATAGATTTGCCAGATGTTGAAGTCTTCATTGGTAAGTGAGCTTGGGCTTGCCATGTAATTTTTCTCCAAGCTTCTATTTCTTCAACTATAGAAATGGGCAGAATAACCACCTACTTGTAAGGTTGAAAACTGCCTAGGCCCATGCTGGGTGGTAGTGACAGAGGCAGGCCAACCTGGTCTACAGAGCAGATCCAGGTTAGTCAGGGCTACACAGAGAAACCATCTTTAAACAAACTCCTGCCTGGGACTTCAGCCTTGATTCCTTAGGCCTCGAGAAGCCAGATTTGAATGCATACATGCTGGCCTTACATGAGCTTTTAATCCAAGTGGAACCTGAGACCCAACCATGTCATTCTGATTTTCTGACTGTCCCTTTTGAGGTATCAAGGGAGTCATGAGGGCTGAGTTCCTGCTATAGAGTCACTGTGACCCTAAGAGGCACACCTTTGAGTCTTGGACTCCTAAGCCCTAAAATAGGCCACAAAATCGGAACCTAAGTATTACTTCCTGAAACCGGCTAGCCTCATATTCTGTCTCGTCTGCAGTCTTGTCTCCTCTGCTAGAGAACATTCAACTCTGTCCTACGACCCTGCTATCAAAGGCTGAGGGGGTATTGAATATTCACTTTGACCCTTGCACTGGTGAAGGCCCCAGACAGGGCTAATGAGACTCCAGAAAAGGGAACCCTGGACTTCCCAGAGTGATTTCATCCCCTTAGTGTGGAGGTGCCTGGAAGCACAGGTACAGGGTTACGATTAGAGAGAAGAGACACTCTAACTTGGTGTCTTAGGCCATAAAGACCTGGACTTTAAGCTCCCCAATCCCCACTTCCCACTTTTTCTATTTTAATTCTGTTTATTCTTTTCTTTCTCTCTCTCTCTCTCTCTCTCTCTCTCTCTCTCTCTCTCTCTCTCTTTCTTTCTTTCCTTCTTTCTCTTTATTTCTTTCTTCTTTTATTCTTTTTTTTTTTTTTTCTGATACAGGATTTCTCTGTATAGCACTGGCTACTGGCTGCCCAGGAACTTTGTAGACCAGGCTGGCCTCCAACTCAGAGATCCTCCTGCCTCTGTCTGGGATTAAAGGCTTTTTAATTCCTTTATCCTGTGGAGCAAAGGTGGTCATTGTTCCATTTTACAGAGGTAGTGATTTACATCTTGCCCAATCAATTACAGGGATTGCTTTCCAGGATCAACTTCCCCAGATCTTGACCTCTCCTAGAGGCTGTACCAGTAGGGGGCGGGTGGTGGTAATGGTGGGGGACCCATAAAAAGAGGAGGAGATACAGCAGGAGGAGGCGGGGGGGGAGGAGGAGGGGAGGAGGAGGAGGAGGAGGAGCAGGAGGAGGAGGAGGAGGAGGGGGAGGAGGGGGAGGAGGGGGAGGAGGAGGAGGAGGAGGAGGAGGAGGAGGAGGAGGAGGGCGGAGCCACACAGAAACTGTCTGAGGTTCCGAGGTCGGCAAGGAGCCCAGATCCCATGGAGGTGGCAGGCTGCAGTTACCAGTTTCGGATCGCGCTGCTCGGGGACGCGGCGGTGGGCAAGACGTCACTGCTGCGGTGCTACGTGGCGGGTGCGTGGGGGGCGGCGGAGCCGGATCCCGAACCCACTGTGGGCGTGGAGTTCTACAGCCGCAAGCTGCAGCTGCCCACTGGGCTGCAGGTCAAGCTGCAGCTCTGGGACACCGCAGGCCAAGAGCGCTTCAGGTGCGGCGGGAAGGGGGTAATGTCAGTCACCTAGGGGGCACCCTTTCTGACAGGTGCCAACTGCAGGGGATCAAGCAAGGTTCCGTGGTCCCTACCGTGCCGACCCCTCCCTACTCAGTCGTTCATCCTACAAACTCCGCAGAGTGGGTCAAGCCCCCAGCCCCAGTTTGTGCTGTCTTTGAGCCCCTACCCAGCCCTAAAGGAACTGCATCACAAAGGGAATTTGCACTGAAACTCTGACTTCCCCAGAGATGCAGAGAGCTCAAGGATCGCGAAGCAGACATGTCAAGGGGGTGGGAAGGAAGACTGGTGTGAGAGGCATTGGCGGGAGCTGCTGACAGGAGGCCTTCTGTGGATCTCGGTGTGGAGGTGGGGTGCCCTCTAAGGCTGTCTTAAAGATATTAAGACTCTCCCAATTATACACACGCCCCTCCAGGTGCATCACCAGATCCTTCTACCGGAACATGGTGGGCGTTCTGTTGGTCTTTGATGTGACGAACAGAGAATCCTTTGAACACATCCAAGCCTGGCACCAGGAGGTCGTATCCACTCAGGGCCCAGACAAGGTGGTCTTCTTACTGGTTGGCCA